ATGTCCATAGTAATGTTCTGGTTCCTCTGTCGTTGTTTCATGTCCATAGTAATGTTCTGGTTCATCCGTTGTCGTGGTTTCATGTCCATAGTAATGCTCTGGTTCATCTGTTGTCGTTGTTTCATGTCCATAGTAATGTTCTGGTTCCTCTGTCGTTGTTTCATGTCCATAGTAATGCTCTGGTTCATCCGTTGTCGTTGTTTCATGTCCATAGTAATGCTCTGGTTCATACGTTGTCGTTGTTTCATGTCCATAGTAATGCTCTGGTTCATCTGTTGTCGTTTCATGTTCGTAACCATAGTAATGGCCTGGTCTCTCAGTTGTTGTCGTCCTATGGTGGTGACCATAGTAATATCTGGGGTATTCTGTTGTAGATTTCGGGTCAAACACGTCCTGGTAACCACTGTACTTGTATTCTGGGTGATCTGGTTCATCGGTAGTTGAATGATAATAACCATAGTAATGTCCTGGTTTATCTGTCGTGGTTGTCTCGTGGTGGTAACCATAGTAATGCCCTGGCTCATCTGTTGTGGTTGTCTTATGGTTGTAACCATAGTAATGCCCTGGTTCATCTGTCGTGNCGGCAACTTTTCCCCTGTAACAATTATAAGAGCGTCAGCCAACCTACATTGCTTATAGTGCGGGCTTCTCGCTTAGGAAAGTTCAAAGGGCCTATGTTGGCACCCTATCGCGTACCAGAAATACATTGCGGCTAACGATTCGGTGGTAACAGCGCGTAACAAATTTTGACCACGTGTTTCGTTTATTCCGCGTTCTGGCCTATAGAAATATATGGAGACACTAATATAATAGTATATTAGTTCCATGGTCTCCAGTCAGCAAGCGTTCAAAATTAATTAACAATGGCCTTCTGAGTCGGCCTATTTGCTCAGTTGCCACACGCTGTCGCTTCTTTTTTAGCTACGTGCTTGTCTCGCTCACCGATCAGCTAAACCGGGTTGCAATAAAATCCCGGTGTCTGCGTATAGACCATATGATATATATAATATTATATATATATATATATATATGTGTGTGTGTGTGTTGTGTGTGTTGTGTGTGTGTGTGTGTGTGTGTGTGTGTGTGTGTGTTTGTGTGTGTGTGTGTGTGTGTGTGTGGTGTGTGTGTGTGTGTGTGTGTGTGTGTGTGTGTGTGTGTGGTGGTGTCGTGTGTGTTCGTGTGTGTGTGTGGTGTGTGTTGTGTGGTGTGTGTGGTGCGTGTGTGTGCATGGTGTGTGTGTGTGTGTGTGTGTGTGTGTGTGTGTGTGGTGTGTTGTGTGTGTGTGTGTGTGTGTGTGTGTAATAGAGGGGGTAGGAATAGAAATAGATAAATGGATGGATGGATGATGGATTGATTTGGTGCATGGATGGCATGGATGGATGGATGGATAGGATGGATGGATGGATGGTATGGATGGATGGATGGATGAATGGATGGATGGATGGATGGATGGATGGATGGAGATGGATAGATGGAAATGGTGATAGATGGATGGATGGACGTGATGAGCGTGGATAGCATTGGATGATAGATGGATTGGATGGATTAAGTGGTTAGTGATAATAGATACATATAAGGCGTAGAGAGAGAGAGAGAGGGGGTTGATGAAGAAGACGGGATATGAGATGTGAGAAGACTTATACACAAACATAGTGAGAGAGAATGAGAGAGAGAGAGAGCGCGCACACACGCCCCCACACGCATATCACAGGTGCCCACGCACGCACGCACACACGCGCGCACCCACACGTCCCACCTAAACACACGCGTCCCGCCTACACACACGCACACACGTACGCGCGTACACATACACACACTTCGTCTCAAAAAAAGAAAGAGAGAGAGAGCAGAGAGGAGAGGGAGAGAGGGACAGAGAAGGAAAGAGAGAGCCAGCATGAAAGAAAGATACAGAGAAAGAGAGGGAGAGCGCGAGCAATAGATACACAGAAAGAGGGAAGAGAGAGAGTGAGGGCAAATTGAAGAGAGAGGGAGAGAGTTCTAGACAAATATATTGAGAGAGGGGGGCGAGTGGCCGAGAGAATGGGGAGCGGACACAGAAACCCACGCACGCACGCGCGTACGCACGTAAGCACTCACGCGCACACATACACATCTACCCTTCAATCTATCTATATGTCTGTCTGTCTTTCGGTCGGTCGATCCGTCCGTCCGTCCGTCCGTCCGTCCGTCCGACCGTCCGTCCGTCCATCCATCATTCCAATGCCAGTCACATCCATCCATCCATCCTATCCACACCATCCAATCCACCATCCATCCAAGTCCATCCATCCACTCCACTCCATCCATCCATCCATCCATCCAGATCATCATCCATTCACCATCAATTCCATCCATCCATCCATCTTCTATCTTATTTATTTATCTATCGGATCTGTTCTGTCCGTTCCTGTCGCGTCCGTGCATTCCCATCCCATACATCCTATATTATATATATAATCATAATAATGTAATACGTGTTGTGTGCAAGCGTGCGAGTTTCTGTACACTTCTTCCCCTCTCTCTCTCACACTCTCTCTTTCTCTCTCCCCCTCTCTCTCAATAAGTCTAGATCTCTCTCCTTCACAATCTCTTTCCACCACTTTCTCTCTCTTTCCTCTCATCTATCCTCCCTCTTCCACTCACCTGTTACTCTTTTTCTAAATAATATTATTGCGTTTAACATTAATTATAACAGTATAGAATAATATTTATTATAATTATAAATTATAAATATCATAATTACTTATGTGTGCGTTGTGTCCGTACGCGCGCGTTTCTATACGCCCGGTCCTTCTCTCTCTCTCTCTCTCTC